ACTTACCAGGAAAAGGGTTGATGTTTAGTGTATTGTTCTTTTCTGTTGGTTTGTGTACAAATCATTGGTTACTGTTAAGAGAAGTGTTGGTTTGAAGTTGGTACATTGCGTTAACTGCCCCATCAGAGCGCTGTTATTCAGTGGTCAAGCGTGTGAAACAGCTGATTGACTCCTCGATATCAATTCAATGGCACAACATGGTGCTGATTTCTTTTGTCATCTGCTTATTTGAGCTGTCGATCTGTTTCAGTTTGAATTGTTATCTGAGATTATTTTTTAGGAGGTCATGTTATGAATTGCAAACTGAAACACTTCAATTCTTCCAGTTTCTTTAAGATGCAGCACATAAATACACACGCATGACTTTATAGAAAGAGTAGGGCAATAACTCAAAGATAGGGATTTAAAGCTGTATTGAACTGTTGCATTGTTGAAGCAAGATCTAATTAAAGATAACTATAAGTATAGCTTCGATACGCTGGGGTAGAATTAATCATTTTAAATGTTTAAAGTTAACAACTGCACTAGCAATGACAAATACTCGGGCAACTTACTCAATTATTACACAAGAAGAAACAAAAGATTTTATCTTTTCACTATTATTTAACCATTCAGAACTCCTGTGTTGTGATAGTTTTAATAAGTGATCGCTAATGGCAGCCTTAAGTTTGTATTTTTGCACTCGTAGGTTCTATATTATTCTACATGATAAAGAAGGTCTACCGATATTCTGCAAGAACGTTAACTGATCAGCTAAATCCATTTTTTTCTTCTATGTTGTTACTAAGCAGGATCGACTTTTAGGATGTTCTTCTGCGTGGACATAGATGATAGATGTCAGATTCAGATGGTGCACATATTCTACATCAGCTATTGCTCACACAATACATCCAAGTCGTAAAGATCTACTGAACTACACTGACAAGTAGTACATCGTCACTTCATGAAGCTGGTATTTAAAACCACTGGAATACTTTGAAGTTGAATATGTATATCAGACATTCATAGGGGAAAAAGGTTGTTGTGTACCTGAGCGCAAGTACTGTTTAGTCAGTGAAATGTTTGTTGGGTCCCCCTGTGTCCTCAAATAACTTTTAGCAGCGGTCAGTGGGCACTGGACGCGCACAGTAAGAGGTAAGTCTGTGGAGTGATGAGAGGCCATTAGAACCTGAGTAAAAGCGTAGACTGACACCAGAGCCAAACCTCTCTCACTTCATTATTACAGGGTTCCAGCTTCCTTCCAGTGGAAAGCCATTACAAGTAAACAATAACAAACAAGCTTCTACTTCTTTCTTGTCACCATTGCTAGACAAATGTATATGGATCAGCAAGGAGACGAAAAATGCGTCCTTTTGAAGGTTTTCAACGCAAGGCTATTGTAATTTGTCCCACGGACGAGGATTTTAAAGAACGAACATTAAAGCAAACCAATGAGCAGGGGAAGGATGTGCCCGATCATGCTGTTTTAGAAATGAAAGGTAGGAATGCTGTGGAAACAACAAATAAAACACCAGATCTACTTTTTACTTTTCTATGTGTTGTCTCTAAAATCAAACTTGGAAGATGCCCCCTCCCCCCTTCCCTCATCATTGGCTTTGGCCAGATATCAGACCTGGACATTTTTTTTTTTTTAAACAGTCCACATGAATTTGATTCTTCCTTATTTTTGCCCTCTATCTGCCACTTTCCATACGGCTTACCTCTAATGCACTGCAAACTAAGACTTTGGCTTGACGGGTCATGTAATAGAGAAGTCAATATTTCCCAATTTTTCTTAAACCACACATGTTTCCAAAATGTCAAACTAAGAATCTGTCACACGCTAAAGTTAATTTGTAAAAAGAAACTTGACGTCAGCCGCCCTTGGTTTGCAGTGCCATTTCCTCTTCTCACCAACCTTCTAGTTGTCCTTTTTGTCCCCCTCCCACCTCTACTGAACTTCTCCCTCTCCTTTGTCTGCTTAAACAAATTTTTCCTCCATGTTGTTCTGGAGGTGATGTTTGTTCCCTATACCCTGCCATCTGCTTCATCAATCTGCTTTTAATTTCTCTATGATTTCTAATTTCCCTGTATGGTACTAACTGTTTTTTCATTTTGTCTTTCGGTGGTGTGACTGCTCTGGTCTTCACTACAACCCCCTACCCCTCCATTTCTCTCTCTCTCCTTTTCTCTTCCTCCACCCATCTCTTGCTGGATGGGCTGTCACTCTCCTCCTCCTCCTCCTCCTCCTGTGGTCACCTCTGTCACTCTTCAAGCCAACTTTACTATCCCTGAGGCTTGCGACTTCCTGGAGGCAGTGACGTACATTGAGCTGCAACATGACGAGGCTGAAACCCTGCTGAAGCAGTACAATGAGGAGGGTCGCAAGGCTGGCCCGCCCCCTGAGAAACGCTTTGACAACAGGCAGGGCGGGTTCCGCGGCCGCGGTAGTGGAACCGTCCAGCGCTATGACAACCGTGACGGGTCTCGTGGTGGCTACCAAAACCGCAGCGGAGATGGAGGCAGTGGATACAGAGGAGGTGAGTGTAGCAGTCAACTCACATATAAAGCTGTACTGTGTCACCAAAGCCTTTTTCACACTTGCACAAAACTTCTGAAAATGTTTTCACTCTGATTTAAGCTGGAGTTTCTCCTGCCAGCTCCCTGGGATTTAATTTTCTCTGTATTGTGAGGGGTGGTGTTGTTAATTCCCTGTGCTGGGCAGTTAATTGAGTTACAATTTCAATTCTGATTTTGACTTCCTCCCATTGTTGTCCAACAGAAATAGTCCCCCCCCGTCCCCCTTCCCCCCCTGAGAGTTGCAAGTGTAAACAACCAGATCAGGAGGATTTCAGGGGCAGTCCTCCTGAAATTCTCTAGAAATTTGTGCTTTTTGTAAAAACAGCTATTGATATTTTTTTTCCCTGTGAGAAGATTAAAGAGAAACTACAATTTGTTTATCAGCATAAAACAAAGCTATATGCATGAAAAGGAACTTGAACTTCTATTTTGTGCATTTATTAGGCTACAATCGCGGCAGCTACAACCAGAGCCGTTGGGGTAGCAGCTACCGTGAAGGAGGCTCTGATTCCCGTGGTGGATACAACCGCAGCCAGCCGTCAGCAGGAAGTTACAATCGCCCAGCTCCTTACAACAAAGGAGGATATAACCAGGTACTGATTATATAATATTATATACAATAAATACAATTTTAGAGTAACTAAATGCAAGTGTTTAATCATCATCTTCTTGCTGTATCTCCAGGGCTACAGCCAGACCTACAGTCAAGGATACAACCAGGGCAGCTACAATCAAAACTACTACAGCAACTACAGTCAGTATCCAGGATACAGCCAGGGCTACAGCCAGACACCCACCACTGCACAGACGTACAACCACCACCAGCAACAGCCACAGCCACAGCAGCCACAACAGACGCAGCAAACTCAGCAGACACAACAGAGCTACAACCAGCAATATCAGCAGGTAATGCATGACTAAGGAAACGCTTTGTCCCTGAGTGTTACACACAGTCTGTAGGGACTGGGACCTGGGTTGGGAACCGGAGGGTGGCTGGTTCAAGCAGACCATAATGTGGAAGTTGGTGTGGTAGCTGGAGAGGTGCCAGGGAACTTGCAGAGTACTGCTGAGGTTCCCCTTGAGCAAGGCACCAAGCCCCCAATGCTCTGGTGCGCTCCCTGTGTAGCAGCCCCACTCTGACATCTCTCCACTAACGCATGTCCACAGGTCCTGATTGTGCATGTTTGCGATTTTGGCCTATGTGTGTGAGAAGCCAGAAAACCAGAATTTCCCTCAGGGATTAATAAAGAATATTTAAAAAAATCAATTAAAAGTGATGTTGAAGGTGATTCTGTTAAAACCTAGTTGGCTTTAATGAATACCTGTAAGGACAAAGAGGGCTTCAGACTTCTAAAAGACTAATGTTTAATGTGGTATGCATACTGAAAATGATCTGTCATGCATAAGTACCGCCAACATGTTCTCACCTGTCTTTGCTTTCTGTTTCTGCCTACAGTACGCTCAGCAGTGGCAGCAGTACTACCAGAACCAGAACCAGTGGAACCAGTATTACAGCCAGTACGGCAGCTACCCTGGACAGGGCAGTCAAGGCTCATCCTCTGGTTCCCAGTAACCTTGCCCTGCATCTTTACCTGCATCCGCCTGTGTCCTAGACACTCTGACCTCTGCAGCAAAATTGATTTTGTACAGTCTCACACAAAGTCCCCAATCATAACTGTCTCTGTCTGGTTTAACACAGTAGCTTCATTCCTCACCAATTAATGTACACATAAACTGAATACAGTTTGATGTCTTTTCATTTTTCTACTGAATGAAGTCTTACTCTACGCAGTGACTGTGGGTTGGTAGATGATAGGTATCAAAACATTTAATGAATGTTATCTATTATGCATTGAATGTGGATGTTTGTTGAACTGCAAACTCCACATTTGCTACAGGTTGAAGAGTAAATTGTATATTTCTAGGAATCATAGTGGGAAAAAGTGACAAGGCAGGAAAACTTTTAAGCAAAGGCTGAATTATTCTGCTTGTTTTGAGAAGCTTAACAAAGAACAAAATGCATGCTTTTTACCTCCACCTCCCCTTCCTCTGTCTTGCTCTTTATTTTTCAGTTACCGAGTGAGCACATTTTATTTACTACAATAGACTTCAAACATGAAACATTTTTTTATAGTTGTTGGTGTTGATACTGTAGTATTTAAGAGTTGATCCAGTTTTTTGATTAAGAATATTTTGCCACTCTTGAGTAGTTTATGTGCAGGGTTTTTTTTTTATTCCTTTGTGATTGGTGTTCATTAAGTCCAGTAGTTAAAACCCTGTTGTAAAACCCATTTTTTCTACCTGAAGATGAAAGTCTGATTTTGACCAGTTACCCAAGCTGTTGTCTTGTCTTTATACAATAAATGCAATTGTATACGCCTGTAGATATCAATTTGTTTTTTTTCTCTCTCTGTGTTCATTGAAAACAACAAAGTGAACGATTCATTGTTGATGTATTTTTCATTTACTTACAAGATTGAAAATGTTGACAAAAGACAAAATGGAGAACATTCAGCTAAAAAAAATGAAGTATGAGGTTTGGAGCTTAGTTCCAGTGCAGTCCTGCTGAACTTGACATCATTTTTAGAGAAATGTGAATGTTGCCAGGGCAGACAATAGATTTCCCTCAGTTACTTGTAGTTGCTGATGGATTGACCTCAAGCTTTTTGTCTTTACTATCAACACAAACATCCAAATAGAAGTGCTGATACTCATTTTCATGACGTGTTAAGAGAAACTTTCCAGATCGTCACATCAGTAAAGTAAATTAAAAGGCAATCCAGTTCCATTTTGCAATAAAGATCGGGTACCAGGCAAAATGTTATCCTTTGGCTTCACATCTGAAGATATGAAAGCAATCGGTGTCTGTTCTGAAATTGTTTTCTTACTTTTTGAATTCATGAGCAGAGCTGTCATAGCTGCCAAGGTCAAAATGAACCTTTTTAACTTAAAGTTGTGGTTAGTGTTACTTTCCTACCCTGCATTTGTTCAAATGTATAAAGGACCAGAACAAATCTGTCGTCATAAAAGACCTCAAGGCTTGAGGTTGTGAAGAATCTTAGCACCAGAGAAGTGAGCCGCCTGTCTTACAAGTACAATGATGTGGTCATAGGTTACAGTAGGAAAACAAATGTTTCAAGCGAAGATAATGAACAGAACTAACAAGACTGACAAAGACAAAATACTTTCACGACCATGATTTAAAAAAAGAAAGTCTGAATGGTTGCTGGAACTCTTTTTGAATGGCAGTAAATCTCATCAGTTCAACACCAGTTCATGGTGGTGACTGGATTTTTTTGTCCATGAGGGAAAATGTTAGATGGTGGAGTACTCAGTCGGGCTCCCTGCTCTTGTCTTTGTAAAAATGTAACTCCTCCATTTTCTCCTGCAGGAAGGAAACAGGCATAGAGCAGCCTCTGGTTCTCAGTGGCAGAGTGTTGACCTGGAACACACAGAAAATACCAAATTATCATATGCAGAAAACCCCCTTCAGTTTCTATTGGGAAGCTTTGAAAATGTTGGGTTATCTCAGTTCGCTTTATTGGTTAGGAACATCTTGTGAAGCTGCAAAGAAGAACTTCAAGAAAATACCACTTATGATATTGTTGAATTATATTATTAAAATCTTTGATAAGCTAAAGAAAGTTTCCACTGAATTATGATTTACTTTCAAACTTAGTAAGGTTATTGTTTTGGTACACTGAGTTAAGAGTGGCTCCTTTTTTGTTTTCGGTTAAAAGTCAAAACGACATTTACATTTGGAAGTAAAGGGGATTTTTTTTTCACATGAGTCAAGAGACAGAAGTCTCGCTCAAGAAGAGGTGTAGCTCTGAACTCTCGCGGTGACAGGGGAGTTGTTGCAGGAAGACGAAGGTTTGAAACATCACTTGGAGTTGGAGAGAGCGGGTAGGCATATTTGAAACAATGTTGTTTCAGAAATGAAGGAAAACATCCAGAGTCTTTTGCAACACACATTTAGTGGACGTACTTTGAACAGACTCAGCTCTCCAAGGTTTACGCTGCTGTCGATGGCGGCCCAATTTGTGGATCTCTAAATACAGGCGAATTCCTGGATGTATATATTTCTACAGCTTAATCAGCAAATATGAATTTAATAAATAATTTAAAAAAAAGGAAAAGGTTTGCAGTTGGGTTATTTTCTTTTAACAGTAATGTAGACCCACAGCCGTACCCAATGCTGCCAAGATATCCACCAAATATTCAACGCAGAGATTTTTGCTTGTCCCATGACAACACAATTGCATGTCGTTCAATAAATCTTAGCGCATCAATTGAATTTCATCCACAGGTTTCACTATGCTTGAAATCTACATCTACAATAATGGAAGTAGTGATTTTATACTCCAAGCAGCTGCATTGATGGTTGATTGTTTTAAACAGTGTTTTTGGATGACCCCTATTTAATTAGCTCCTGTCGTTATCTGAAATTGTAAACCCAGGTAAATCACCTTTGGAGGCTGTACTTATGTCACTTCTCTATGTACCTACTAAAAACGACCCCACATAGAGACACTCCAGGGTTTCCAACAACATATTGGTATTCCTTCAGTGGTTAATGTCATGACAATAATATAAAAATGTCAAACGTGGATAATAACTTATAGCTCACCCTTCTCTCGGGGGATGCATGAACTAGAGAGTTGTGGTGGTTTCCCCTCATTTCCCTTTTCTCAGGTGTCCACACTCCGGGGTCTGTCTGAGTCGAACGGTCTGACAATGTTGAATCACTGGTGCTATTTGTCCAAACAGAGAGTCCCTTGTTGTGGTGTGTGTCGATACTTTGGGGGAAAACAAAGGCCTCCTCCTCTGAACCTGGCAGGGCATATAAGACGTCAGTACACCAGGTGAAAGGTTATGTCATATGCAGGGAATATTTAGGTGTGTGTATTCTGTATATGATGGAGACAGAACGTACTCCAGACGCCGCCCTTGCTTCGAGATTCAGGGGCAGGGGTGCACGGACAAGACCCAGTTGAGTTTTTGTGTTTTTTCGAGCACTCCATTCCCACCAGGTCTCTGCAGTGCCTGTGACAGTTTATCCCACAGTCTGCGAGAGAGGAAATGAGACTTTAACAGAAACACTATTACCTAAAGAATCAGTTCACTCAGATTACAAAAGGTTTGTGGATTCATCGCCTTGAGCATCCCAAACCAAAAATACTTTCACATGGCAGCAGAAATTTCGCAGACACATACAGCCAAACCTGTATATGGGTGGTTGTGTGAACTGACCCTTTAACTTTATTAACCTCTTTTGTAACATCTGATTACTCTGATAAAATGTATGCATTGAAATCTTACCTTTACAGTGGTAGCCCTGTTTGATTACTCCCCACAGCTACAAGAAAGGCAGACATGATACATGTTATATTGGGGTTTACTTCTCAGTGATTATGATAAAAAAAAAAAAAAAAAGTGTTACAATGGATACTCACAAAGCCTCCACAGATATAACAAAACGTTGGTCGCTTATATGTGGTTTCATGAAAGTTATGTACGTCACTGAAGTTGTAGCCAAGCTTAGCCCACACGGACATTCCCCTCATGAAGTAAGAGTTGATTTCTTCACGGCTTATTTGTCCCTCCCTGAGACGAATTTTTTCCAAAGTGTGACAACATAGTGATTCATTTAGTTCAGGTTCTTTTATTTTCTTAAAAAAAAAAAAAAGAATACAACTCATGCTGCCTTACACCAGAGAGGCCCTGTGTGTTGTAGCTTCCTCACCTGTCAGTTTCATGAGTGCAGAAGGAGAAGGGGAAGTTGGCCGCTATTTTCTCAAAGTCCTCATGAGAGATGTAACCATCCTGGTTCTGGTCGTAATTTTTCATTATGGACTGCAGGGGGCGACAGAGCAATCACTTCAATCAGTTTGTGGAGGGACCAAGTTGGTTAGTTCTGCTTTGGCATGTGAAGTAATAAGGAAGTGAAAGACAGAAGGTTGTTGCAGAGTCACATACTCACATCCACCATCTGTTTGACATGTTTGGATATGGTGTCAGGGTCGAGCCTGGGCGTGACCCCTGAACCCCACTCTGCCACCACGGGCGGTTTAACTGGAGCTACAGGCTGTGGAACCAACAAGTTGAAGAGATGAGACACAGCAGTCTGAGCAACGTCAGAAACATGAAGAAAAAAACGGCGCACACCCACCACATAACAGGCTTGCCTAACGTATAGTGCTTTGATGTGGTTGAGTTCTGGTATATTTGAGCTCTGAGTGTGTGCTTTGTTTTAAAGCTGTGACACCCACAGAAAGTACGCAACTGTCCCTCCTCTTGAGAATAGAGGCCAAAAAAATGTGAGCCTGATGGTGTTAGATAACGACCAACTTCAAAGAGGAGCATGCAGCTTTACTGACCTGGATCTTGGGGTTCTTGGGTTCCTTTGTATATGAAAGTTCATATATCTCATCCTCAGTGTAGTACAAATCTAGAGAAAGCTAAAGCATTAAAAGAAAATAATTTTAAGATATACTTAGTTGATTCTTTTTTTTTAAAGTGAAATCTAATAGATCAGCGTTTAGCATTGTGTCGTACTGTGAGCAGGTGCAGGAGATCTTTATTGGCCTCGAATGGGGGTGTGCTGCTGTGAATGGCCAGCAGGTCGGTGATGTTGCTGTATAGGTGCTGCAGCTTGCTCAGGTTAATCTTGTCAGCATCTATGTAGTCAGGCAGGGCCTCATTCAATGAGATCAGATCCTTCAGGTGGACGCCTAGGATGGGAACCTTGAAGCCGCTGCACTCGCTGTAAACCCGCCGGTAGTTGCTGTAGTTGCTGCGCGATGAGAGCAGCTCTGTCATCTCACTCAAGGCCTGATACAAGATAAAGAAGACAGCACGGATACATTAGCCTGTCATGTTTCTCTGCAGTAACTGTTTTAGATTTAAAAGATATTAGTGACATTTTTTTAAGATTTATTTTTGTGCTTTTCATTGCAGAGACAGGATAGAGGGAGAGAGAGAGTGTGGAATGACAAAGTTGCCACAGGTCGCCTTTGAACCTGGGCCGCCCGCTTCGAGGACTACAGCCTCTGTACATTGGGAGTGCAAACTAACCACTCGTCCACTGGCGCCCCGATATTAGTGACAAATTAAACCATATTTGACCTCAGAATAAATTGTATTCTGACACATAGGCTGTACACACTTATGTCTGCACATAACACACATTATGAAACAATATGGTCTACTTTGTATATTTCAGGCAAGAATGCAGCAAGCCTTTTTGATAAACACATAAACAGGGATTTTCATTATACAGGAATAAGATTTAGAAACCTGTGTTGACCCCCAAAAGAAATCAAGAACATCAAAAGTCCTTTACTAAAGATTTATCCAATTTGTCTTAAGACACAAAAAGCATTATAGCTTAAACTTCCCCTTGTAGCTCAAATGGAAAGGTACAAAAAGATAAAACTGTGCATACAAAATATGAAATAAAGACAATGAAGCCATGGGAGATTTTATAAAGGAAAGTTTAGTCATGACAGTGCTGTGGTGAGGTATTCATCTACAACCTGACTCATGTTGATGCGCAGTAATCAATACCTTAGTTACGTCAGGAGGCAGCAGGTTAGAGGTGTCTTTTAGGCGGGAGATGGAGCTGTGACAGAGGCCTCCAGTCACTGCCATTAGAGTGTTAAAGTTTTGCAGAGCTCGAAGTTTCTAAAGAGGAAAGCACAGAATAAATGTAAGTCTCTTACCCTGAAAAATCCAAACCCAGACGAGTACATATTGAAACAAGAAATCGTGTTGTCTGTTTACCTGAGCCACATGAGTGAACTTGGTGAAGACCTGAGCTCTCTGCTGGGCTGTGTGTCTGCTGAGGATCATCAGCTGGACCCACTGGGAGACTCCGTTACACATCATGACCGAACGCTCCAGAGCAGGGTTGTCCCTCACCGAGCCTCGCACCACGTAGCTCCGATAATCCAGGTACTAGCAGACATAAGGCAAGAAAATAACTTGAGTTCAGCGCTGTCTCCAAACAGTTGTTAAAAAAATAATGGGCACTGGTGGCGCAGTGGTTAGTGCCATGGGTTCAAATTTAACCTGTGGCTCCTTTCCCGCATTTCATTCCCCACTCTCTTTCTCTCTCGGATTTCCAACTCTATCCACTGTCCTATCTCTCCATTAAAGTCACAAAAAGCCCAAAAGTAAATCATAAAAAAAAACACTTGTCCAAACCAGATTAAAATCTAGACAGGTTAGAGCACTTACAAAAATTTGACTAATAGTCAATAGTCAAAAGTGAAAAGGGTCAAAAAAATGAATTGTCTACCCTTAATGTGCCCACCACGTCGTTAGGTTAAATTATTAGCCATATCTCATTGTTGTACCATAATCATTTTACTGGTGCCAAATATTGACATTTTAATTTTTTTGAATTTTGCTCTAAAAGTTCTCATCCCTAAAATCATAAAAAAACTATAAAATATTTGACTGTATTATGTCTTTCCTCATCAGAGAATCAATTATTAGATCATTTGACATCTTGTATTTGGTATGAGATTTGTTTTGAAAGCAGCAATATCTCGGACAATTATTCCAAATGAGGCTCGTTACACAAAGTTAGAACAGCAAATGATTGAGAAGTTGATGATTGAACTGACCGAAACGTTGCAGAAGTTCTTGAACTCCAGGTAGCTGAGGTGCTTAGCCATCTCATCCGGCTCCATGTGGTCGAAGATCAGAGACACCTTCCTCTTCTTCACAGAAGGTGACGGTGCCTGGAATATGTTCACATGAGGGCTTCTAGGAAGAGAAAGCCAAGCAACAGGAGAAAACAGATTTTTGTCTATTTTTAGAAGGAAAAAAAATCTGTTTTCATCTGTTGACGAGTTGAGTTGTGGTCGGCTGTTGAATCAAATCAAATCATAGCTCACAGGCAGGAGGTGTCCATGAGCTGTGAGTGCTTCTCCTCCCCGTCCAACCGGACCAGCGCCCACAGATCCCCCATGGTCTGCTCAAGGAGGGGGTCTGCTTCAAATACTGCCGGGAACTGGCTCATCCACTGCCTTGCCACAAAGCAGAAAATATGTTTACCACCCACAAATAGAGCAGGATAACCAGTTCTGTAACAATCATGTGCCTGGCACCCGTACTCACCTGATAAGGTGGCAGACCTGTGACCGCCTCAGTCCTCTCTTATCTGAGGGACAATCCTTATAAGTGAAAAGGAGAGTCAAGGATTTAAACACACAGTGCCAATATGGCACAACACCAGGCGGGATTTTAACTTAACATATGCTTTGCTGCAACAAGTGTAATACAAAGAAATGCCTGTTTTCTTGATCTGATTGATGAACATGAACATGTGATTGGTTGCACTGTCCCGCTAGGAACAGAGTACGACACTGAGCGACTGTGGAGGATATATAGTGAGAAGTTTCTGGGCGAACATCTGAGATGGCACGACCCAGCTGTGCATCATCAGGGTCATGTGGACCAACTGGCTGGAAAACTTCCCCTCTGAATCTGCAACCAAAAACACAGCGGTAAATTTCACACAGGGAAGATAAGTGTGGTTAATGGCAACAACAGCGACAACAGAAAGTGTGACTTGCATGGTGGCTCAGTGGTCAAACAGTTTAGTTCATTTCACATCATTGCATTCAGTCACTTAGTTTACCTGACTTGATTTTTGATTATCATTTTTTTTTTTTTTTCGACCTGAGACATGCGGCTAAGGTGGACTGGAGTTTTATCATTTCTTTTGGTGTGAGTGTCTGTGTTAACCTTGACAACCTGCAGCGGGTGATTTCCTGCCAGTCGCTTACTGAGAAACATCCAACTGTGACCTAGAGTAGAAATAAGCAAACATATAGACTGGACTAGACAAATGTGTCTACTTAACTTGATATACAAATGACCTTTTCATACATATTCATAGATCTAATATTTTATAGGTTAATGGGACATAACAATTCATAACACAGCATTGTCTAAGGCTGCTGATAATAAGGGTCAAAGGACAAAACATGATTGACTGCATGTGTGTATATCAATGTCCCCTTTTTTCCTCTCAGTCAATACCAGTTCCTTCCACCTTCTCCAAGTGGTTTATTCACATGTTTGGGGTTATTTTGATTAAAATATTGTTTTTTCTCCATTGGTGTTCACAACATAGCGACTCAAACAGCTCCACAGCAGTGTCTCGTTTCATCTTTTCTCATAATGTTCATATTTTATTTTCATTTTTTGGAGGATGATCTGCATTAACCAGGACCTTATTTATGAATGAGCATGTTAAAAAACTTCACTTTAAGACCCACAAATAACTTCCATTCACCTCCATTACATTGGCGGAAACAGGACTCTCATCAGTGAATATCTCAAACCTCTGTAATATGAACATAAACTATCTGTGTGCTGGATACCATGACGGGTATCCAGACAGTTTTTTTGTCATTTGGATGGGCTGAATAATTAGGCATGGGAGAGTGAGATCACTGAAAGTGGGAAGGGAAGAGAGATTTGTTTAGTGTAACATTGCATGGGAATAGCTCGTTGGCCTCAGAAGCCCACCAGAACAAAGCTTGATTGTATGAGACTGCTCTTTGTCTCCCTTCCTCTCTGTCAGTCTCTCTCACCCCAAATTCCCTCTCACACTCTGTCATCCCCCATTTATATAACCTGGTTGAGATAAAGAGTAAAGTCACATGACAAACCTACGATACACATGCAAACACGTTGGGACAGAGACTGACCGAAGCAGTTCAGGCAGCGCTGTATGAGCTCATCCAGGCTGGCAGCGCTGGCGCTTGGAGCAGAGCTGGGGCTCTGCAGGGCCCGGGTGATGTCCTGGGGGCTGGGACATGTATTCCTCCTCCGCGGGACCAGCTTCCCTTTTTTCAGGCTATCTACATTTGACTTCCTGAGAAAGAGAAAGAGAAAGAGAGGCAGACAGATCCAGACAAAAAGTATAAGTAGTCTAGATAAACAATAAGCATTGTCATCTGAGGAAATACAACCAGTGTTACAGCACTGTAACAGTCTAAACCATCACTACATCACTACTGGACAGCTGTTGTGATGAACTACATAGATGTTTCTCATCATGAAGATTCCAGGTAGATTGATAAAGCTGGAAAACCAGGAGTGCAGAAGGTTGAGAAATTCTCTGTCCTGATACATGCTCAATGCTATGAAAAACATTTGCAGTGTTTTGATGAATATTTTTTTTTTTCATTAATCCAAACAAACATCTTCTGGAATGCATCGTCCATACCCTTTATTCAGCAAAAAAAAATGTTTAAAAAAAATTGATATGCTATTTGTGTCTGGGCTATTTGCAGTGATAATGACTGATGTGACCTCTTGCATGATTTTTTTAAACGCTGACAAACACCTGTGTTTATCAATGATTTTTTTATTGCAAATTTAAAACAAATAGAGCTTTTCTTTAATTTAAATTATGCCCTTTTTTAATTCAGTGCCTGTATGTATTCACGAATGAGCTGCACAGTTTATGGCTTGGACATTAGCGAAATGTATTCACAAGTGTTTGAACCCTGAATAACATTTGAAAGGAGAGAAGGTGAAAAACTATCCACCTACAAGAAAATGTTTTACAACCTCCAATTTCTACAAACACTTGATTTGTGAAGGACAGATCAATGGAACTACTCGCAGCTTATAGACAGGGTGGTAAGAGGAAGGGGCTGCAACTAGTAATTTCCTGAAGTAAGTGATTACATCCAAAATGTTTGGAACCACTTAGGACAATATCGATATTTTGGCTTCTTTTAGTTACAAAAGCAGTTTGTGATCGAGGAGAACCCAGACTTTTCAAGAAGTTGTTTTCGGTCTGACATGACATTAAGACATCCTTTGGGCATACCGTAAAGCTGAAATGACTTTGATTGTGACGTGCAGAAATTTGCCAAAGGAAGTCAAGGAGCAAAAAACTTCTTGTCTAAAGTGTCAACATGAAGTCACTCTCAAAGGGAGTTTTTTTTTAGTTTTTTATGCCCTCAAAAAAGACAAATCGACTGCTTTGTTTCATGACGCTTTCCTCTTCAGATCAAGAGCTCATTGAGAAATATCTGAATGTATTTCACAATTGAGTGACCTTTGAAGTTTTTCTGTGGGCACTGGTAGCTTTACATTGACTTGAAGGAAAAGGGGTTGACCCCTCCCTGCTATCCTTCTGCTAAATTTCAAATCAAACCAAAGTTGATATGAAACCTCATTGTTGCATGTCTTCTTCAAAAAGTAGGTAAAGTTGTCAGTGTTTCACTTGACTTTTTCAGATCAATCTTAATCAGTATAGCACCAATTCATATCAAATGTCATCTCAACACATATCTAGACTGTACTCTGTGTCCCCATGTATGTGTAGAGACAGTGTGTACCATATACGCAGTGAGTCTGCGCTGTTTTTTTTTTTACACAGACGCTGATGTGATGACATTACCAGGAAACAGAGTTCAGAGAACTGGTGACATGTTCCCCAAATTAACAGACCTGCATCTCCTTCTCTTAACCAATGTGTGTGTGGCTAATTTTACCCACCCCTACACACAAACACACAAACACACAGACACACAAACACACGTACATAATGAATATCTCAGCATTCACACACATGCACACTGCAGTCACACAAAACATTTGGTCTGCTTTATGTACAACAGATGAGTAGGTACTCATAGATGCACTATTCCATACAGACAGTATACACGGCCATATTCACTGATCTATTTATAACACAAGCTTTCTCCTGCCTGTATGAGCTGTTTAATACAGCTGTCACAGTTAACACAAAGCATACACATTTCACATTTAGACAGTTCTTCCTCAGCCATGAGTAAGAAACCCTGATGTGGGGGGGGGGGATGACAGTGATGACCCTAACTGTGTGCATCCTGGTAGTCCAGTTCCAGACCGCTGGTTTAGAAACCTGCTGGGCAACAAAACTCCTCATCTTCGCCTCATTACACAGCCGGGCCGCTGAATTCAAAACACTAACAGTAAACAGCACATCATGTACCACAGTGGACAATTTTTACGGTTCAGAAACATAACAAGCACACTGTCAAGGTTTTTGAGTTCATTTGATGCATACCTCTGCCACTTATTCTACTACTACAATATTGCCCAAGCGCAAGCTTATATCTCATCACACATTATGTGATGTCTTTAGGAGGAGGTCTGCCTCTATTTCCTGAGGGCCTCAGATTGTATGTTTGCTTCATGGGTTGCAAAAGCCTGACAGGAAAATCTGTAATTTGTGATTCTGAGCTGTAACAAAAAAAAAAAAGTACTTCTCTGTTTATACCCAGAGACCAATTTTGTAAAACTATGATATTAAAAATAAAAGGTTGTTTTTAAAGGTCCATATAAGGACCCTTACCTGACAAAAGAGCAAAGACATTAAAGAAGTTCATTTCAAATGACCATTGTTGTTCATTCATTCATCATTCAACTCAGGTGGAACTTAACGTCACCATCCTCTGCCTATGTCCATTATTAAGTCATTTATTTATTCCATTTTTGACTACCAGTATTAGCAACCTTTAACCTTCCAGAGCTAAAATTTTCTGTAACAAAAAGTTATAAAGATGGTGTTTTTAGAGTGCCGAATGACACAAAAAGCACCTTTAGACTTTTGTTAAAAATTAATGACTCAACCTATTTTTATTTCTTGCTGCGACCTGTGACATTTGCACACGACTACATATGAGCTTTTTAGCATTTTTGTATTTTATGAAGTGCAAACTTTGTAAATTAACTGAATTAAAAACTTTAATAATTACCTTATAACAGTTTATTTTATTTCTGACTTTAAAGCAACACTTCTTCGTTATCTATGTGCCCTTTACACATCTGTCATCTCTCCCTTTGACTCAGAGTGAATCCAGTTCTGTCAAAGCAGTCGCACATATGAGGAGACACACTTTCTACTACAGACAGAAGTGCTGATGGGGAAATGTTCTTGATGTCATGGCGTTTTACAGGGAATTCCCCCAGAGTGCTGAGCAGGTAACACAGCGCACACCAGTCAATGATGATCTTTTCTGTGTTCCTTTTTTAAAGAGGTGTTGGTAAATACATGTAGCGTGCAGTGGACTTCCATGCAAATTTAAAGACAATTGGAGGTCCTGTTTTAACATTTGCGTTCACTTTTCCTTGGAGTCAGATAAGTGTGTTAAAAATAAAATCAACCAATCTTATGTAACAGTAAATGTATGAAAAACAAGTCGGCTTAATCTCGTTTTTGTGTGCATAATAATGATTAAAAAAACCTCAAGAAGTGCTTTGAAACACAAATGATATGTGTATAATCTCCATCATTTCCCTGAGTTTGTTTAGGGAAGACCTTCCTCACTTCCTTTCCTCACTAAGAGCTGCTTTACCCATTTCCCTCTCTACCTTCATCCTTGCTCTATTTAAGCCATTCGGGAAACAGCTTCTCCTTTTTTCTTTTGAAATCCCTCTCTCACTCCCTTTCTCATCCGTGTCAGGACTCCTGGCCACAGATCCAGTTCCCCCCCCTCCCTCCTCCCCTTTCTCCCTCTCTCGCTCTCACACTGGCAGGGGGATATGCAAATTCCTCTCTTTCTTTCCTTAATTGATTAATTGAAGCCAGGGACCCTTTGAAGGCCTTGTTTGTTGTGCTGCTCTTTTTCTCTTGCTCTTCCCTCTCACAACCTGTGTTCTTGTTCCCTCTTTGCATCAAGGAGAAGCATCCACTTCAACGGGCCGTTCATCCGTCGGGTCCAACAATAAAGTCACTGTACCAAAATATTGTTAATAGCGTCTGAAAATAGCGGCACGTATTCATCAAGCTCTCTCCCTCTCTTATGTGAGGAGCAGAGGTTGAGATAGAGTGCAGCCCTGAATCTTCTGTTGAAGAAATACCTGTGCTCCACATCCCTTCAGTGGGAACGCATACACCCTCTCTTTTTCATATACACACTCAGTAATTTAGCTTCGGCTTATTTCCATACCATCGACATGTTTTATTAATAAATCTTTTTATAAAGGTATCTATGAAAAGATGTAATGTATGTATTTTTTTTACTTCCAATTTGCCTTTCATTTCTTACAATTTCTCTCATTGTCGTTAACAAGTCTTTTGTTTTCTTATTTCTTGAGCACATCACATGACCATGAAGCAGGGAAATACTTTGGTGCATTGATGGTGCTGCTGCTAAGTGTTCATCCCAGAAATCAATCAGAAAAATCTTTAAATACTTTTATGCCTTTATCCCAGTGAAGACAAACTTTACGTGAAAACAGTTCACAGATTTTGAATTTCAAAGGCATCTTTTTGTCAACACAAGTTATCCGAGGTTCGACTGCATGTGTGAAGAGTTTTGAAAAGTGAACTCGCTCCTAATGCGTGCATCTTAATGACCAATGCAGGGGAAGCATAGCAACCTGGCCATATAAACTCAGGTAGTTAAATCACACATAACACATGTTTGACTGCCACAGAACCCTTTCACTCCAGCGAAATCTGATTAGAGCTGCTGTCACAACTGCTGCAGTGAAATGTATTGAAAACACAGGCTGCTAAGTATATAAACAGTTTCTTATTATATCAGATCAAATTAAAAAAACAACCAACTGTCATGTTAAAGCCGATTAGCAGGACGGATCAGAAGCAGAACAAATTTCCGTGGAAAGGTGAGCAGGCTCAACAAGCTGGCACAACCACTGGATATCAGAGCTCATTTACACATACGCAAATAACATGTGAGGTTGATTTTTGTTTTTGTCACTGTTATGCAAGTCAAACTCTTTAACTGTGAGCATGTATGAGGTGGGCACATACAGCCTCTTCTCTCTTCACCTCAATCCGTCTAGAATTAAATAAATGCCAGAGAACACACGAGCAACAAGTGGCAAATAAAACTGAATGCCCCCATTTGTCTTCATCTTGTAAAGATCTTTTGCACAAACCACAGTGCATCTCATAACCTCAAGGTTCACACATATCTGCTGCACACAACAGTTGCTGCTGACACATACTCAGACCAACAACAACAGCTCAGAAACCAAGCTGCAAATGGATCTGGCTGCACCAGACTCTCAGTTTACACACGCACACACACTCTCTACTTTTTTCATTTAATTACCTCTTGGTCTTGTTCATTGCAGAGCTCTTCTCCTCAGGGGCACTCCTCCTCCACTGATGATCCGCACGGGCATCTGAGCGTGTCCCTACAGCTCCATGGTTGGCCCTGCTCCTCCCTTTCCTCCTCCTCCTGCTCCTCTGTGTCCTCTATGTATTTATGTGCCCAGGACAGCAAGAGCTGGCACAGGACAGAGAGCTGATGGGGGTGAGGACTGCCTACCTATCACTCATCGACTAAAATGTACTAAACTCCACGCCTCAGCTCTGCTTATCACACCACTCTATGTGTCAGTCAACCCCCCCCAGCTATCTGAAAGTATTGATCAACCGCAAACAGCAACAAAAAAAGGCTCACTGCTCGCTCCGCCTACAAAAAAATCAGACATGACAAAAAAACATGCCTCAAACAAGCTTCAAAATAGACTCCAAGAGCTTGAAAAAGTAATTCACTTTGTCCCTTCAACATAAACAAGTCACCATCTTAAATGGAGGAACTGGCTCTGACAGATAGGGGAACTCGTATCAGTTTCTGCGTGTGTGTGTTTCTGCACAAAGGGGAGGAGAAAGGCGTGAAAAAAAAAAACAGTGAACACACAAACGCAGTAGGCTATGGCGGTAGAGGAAGAACAAGACAAGTTAGAGAGATTGTGATGAGCAATCATCTGAGCACCATCAGTGTACTCCAGGAAGCAACAGCTGCGGTTCTTTTTTCAGAGCATCAACACAGAAAAACAAAGAACCACACCTAAATGTCACTTTTGATGCAATTCTTAGGGGTATTGCCTGCTCTTGGCAACAAAAACAGTTCTTGAAAAACCAAATAGATGTCTGATAACACTGTTTTGATTTTGAAATGAAAGTTCTTTCATCGTTTCTTTTTTTAACGCTGTTGTATCCTGACAAGGCTTGTATTCTGACGAGTGTCTCTGTACTGGATTTGTTCATCCAGGGTCTCCAGTGTCTCCCAAATCATGTCTATCACCCTGATTTCTTCCTTTTCTTCTTTTTTTTTACCTCCCTCTGTCATTTCTCAGGGTTGCAAAGTGATTACACAGGGAGGTAGTGTTAATGCTTCTGAATGTGGCCGTGCAGCTGGACAGGGAGACTCAAAGGCATCCTTGTTTTATCACACCAAGAGGAAGAGGCGACCAAACAGGGGACATTAATGTCCCCCAAGTCTGCAGAGGTGGCTTCTTTGCTGCAGGAAGCTGACTGGCTGGCAGAGAGAGAGTGGGTGATATGGCATTCAGAAGCAGGACCGACGCACAGACTCTTTGCATGCCAAGTCCAAACACCTAAAAATGCTTGAATTTGCATCAGAAAGGAGATCACTGAAGGAGCTTAAACAGCGTCGATGGAACTGTCACAGACGAAAAAACGGCATGTAATGCTCTTTCCTGGCAATTTGGTAATCTTACTGTAATATTAGGCAATAGTTATTTTAAACAGGAAGAGCTGTATCAACCCAGCTGGTGAATCCAAAGAAAGATCCAATGAAAATGTAGCTGATACATTTCCACTGAGTATATAAGACTCCCATATTTGCTTTTGTATGCTGACTTTCTCAGTTTTTTTTTTTTTGGGGGGGGGGGGTGAAGTGCATTAGGCTATATTAGAAGACTTTGCTATGGGTTGAAAAAAGACGGAAGTCAAACACTGACAGCATCGAAACGTGGGCTGCAAAAAACCCCCAAAAAGGAACAGTAAAGACCCAAATATGTTTTAACTGAAGACGGCATAACTACAATCTTTACAACATTATCCAACTGGATTTTTACTCTTATTTCTTGGGAGATATGCCTACTTCTGTTGACTTTCAAATAAGCAAATCAAATGTATAGTGAAACGTTAAGTTTCTGTCTAATGTGTCATATGGTTTCACTCTTTTGATTAAACTGGTAAACATTGACTTCATTGGACCGTTCCCCCTTACCTCTGGTGTTGTCATGTGGAGACGTCTTACAGAGATTTTGAATGACATTTGTGGTACATTGTCGCCATCTTCAGGCGGGGGCCGCAACTGCAGTTAAATGGAGGCGGATTCATGAGTTGGCAGAAAGACGGCAGCAGCAGGTATTTTCTGAGTCAGGAGGACTCATGCTCCCAGAATTCATGTTAGTTCTGCTCCAGTGGCCCCCGCCTCCTCCTCCCCTCCTCTCCGTTTTACCCACTGGACGGAGTTGTACACCGGTTTAGCAGCGTCCCCAAAAACATCTTAACACTGCCACCTGCTCTTGCTGTGGGAGATGGATGAGAGGGAGAGCATGCTGAAGGGTGCCAGATGGAGCCTGTCGAGGTAAGGATTTTGCGCCTGTGTCTTTATGCTGAATGAAGGTTTGGCCACCCGTTTGTGATTGAGTGTGTGATGCGCCTCTTTTCAGTTCAGACTTCCAGCTTTTCTGTCTGCTGCATCCTTGCTGCCTGTTCTGTTCTGACCAAGAGAGGGGTGTGACACTGGCGCTCATGCATGCCCACTGTGTGTCCTCCAGGAATGTGTTTCGCTGTCCAGACAGAGCTGTTGATTTTGGGAGATAGCATGATTTTTTTTTTCTAGCCATAAGGCAAGTATGTTAGTCTGCAACAAAATGAAAAAGGTAAAAAAAATAACAAAATATGAGGTATTGTTTAATCATATTGGCCATTTTGTGTCAGGGTGTAATGGATCTATTCAGAACTAAGATATTCAGGCTGCAAGGAGACCAACAGGGAAGCTGGATGGACACATTTTGAAATACAGGTAAATGAAAATGGGATATTTGAATGTAAGGCTGTCAGACAATGTTAATAATTTTGTTTTTGTTTTTGTTTTTAAATGCCAAGCTCAATCTCCATTACCCAAATCAAAGATATTCAGTTGAGGATAACTGCTGAGCAGCAGGACTTCCTTCTTTTTCAAAAGCTTAAAAAAAGGCAAATACCCTTTTAGCTATAAATGGTTCACACAATTTACTACAGTAGCAGAAAAGGAGAAAGCACACACTTTTTTATAATGATAACAATAATAATACGCTAAAGCGCTTTTAAAAAAAACTCAAAGACACTGTAATAGTTAAAAACAGAAAGAACAGCACAGTAAGGACAGACTAACAGACATTGCAGCATTACACACAAATCATAAAGATAACAACAATAAAGGTAAAACTACAGAAAGCAGGAAATACATCACAATCATACATTAAAAGCTTGTTTAAAGAGGTGAGTTTTGATGTGTGTAGGGAGTGAGTTCCAGAGGGAGGGGGCTCTGTCCCCCCAGGTTGGGTGCTTGGTTCTAAGAGGGGGAGATAGGAGGTTATCTGACATGGTTACATCTGGAAAAACAATAGACTCGACTAAAACAAGTCCAGGTTCTGTCTCTTTAAATTACTTGAAAGCTCTTTCTGATAACAGACGGAGGACATGGTGCTAATTAAAAACCTGACGTGATGTATGTACAGGACATCTCCTGTTGTTGTTTACTTACTTTGAAAAAAGCTTTGGAAGGGACTTTGTATGCTACTGAATGTGCAGGAATGCAGGTTTGATATTTCTTTGAACTACCAGACTTGTTGGTGACTTTGGGTCAGTTTTTACAACATGTCCTCGTTAATAAATGTAGTCCTGATTAAGCCGATGAGACATATTTAACTTATCAACGTTTTTAATGTTTAGCTTCAGCTGTGATCGATGTTTTCAATGACACAGATAGAAAATAACCCCTAACCCTTTTTTTTAAAGCACATTTTCAGGAATCTGCTCATGTCATTTTTCAAATCATGTTTATCCTGTTCAATAGATCAGGTAGTGACCACACTGATAACACTACATGATAACATAGAAGAAGTGTATTGCTCATGAATTAGTGATGTGAAGTAGCATTACTCATGGTAATGTACATGACAAAGCCTGTGATGCTGAAGAATGCTGCCTCACTGCTAATCTTAACAGTATAGAGCAGAGAGACCATGATAACCGGTTCTTACTCAAATGCCCTTCTTCATTACATTAAACCTCATCAGCTAACTGTCGAGTGGAACAGATGTTTGAAGATTAGCGCCCTTTGGGAGGAGAACTGCTAATTAAGTATAAGTGAACATATAAGGGGGATTCTTAGGGGGATATTGCGACTTTGACTTTTTCTCTTTGAGGAGTTAAGGTGTGTGCTAGATTTTTGTGTGTGCATTTATTCTAACTGAACCCCCCTAAAGGCTAGTCCTTCCCCCAATTTCCTTTTATAGCATCAGACATGTGGAGGGAGGGGTGAGAATTGTGTGTTTGTGTGTTTGAAGGAGGCAGACTGTGTTAAGGAGTAGCCCACTTCTACAAACATGGTGGTACGATGGGATGGGAGCAGTGCAAATGTGTAACAAGGTGCATGCCCCTCCCTCCACCACTCCACAATCCCTCCCTCATTTGCGGTCGGGGGACGCAAAGCGAAAGAGGAGAGCCTTTCCTCTTGTCACTCTCTCTCACAACAGCGTGAGTGCCACAGGACTCATGCTGTTCTCCTGCACACCTACACACACTAGCACTGAGAGAGAGAGACACTAAAAGGGAGAGCGAGAGAGAGGGGGATACAGCTACTAGAAGGGAAGGAAGGAGAGAGGTGCAACGTGGAGAGAGAAAGGGAGGGCAGAAAGATAAAATAAATCTTGAAGACAGGACACTGAAGGATTTTTCTCTTTTCTCCTGAGGAGCTGCGAATAACCCTCGGAGAAGGATGGCAGAAGGGGGAGAGGGAGAGGAGGAGATTCAGTTCCTGCGAACGGTGAGTCCTGCTACCTTTTTTCTTTTTCTAAAAGGCTAACCTGCACTGACTGCTAGAGTAGAGTACGGGATGCTTGGGGCTAGAGAAGGAAACGAGGAGTGAGGACAGCAAGAAAGTAAAATAGATCATTTTTCAGTGAAGAAAAGCAATTTCTGTTTTTTTTTTTGTTCAAGTGTTTTAACTTTTGAGTTTAAATTGACACATGATCCTTCAGCATTACCTTCTGAGTATCCACTGGCTTCACAGTTTCTCCACTTTAAAAACTTTTGCTTCTCTGGCACTGGTTATTAAAGGCATATCTGTAGTTGCAGTTCTTGAGCCAAGTCCCGCTTCTGTATATAGTTGACTATTTTTGCGTTGCCCTGAATGTGCCCGTGACCCGCTTATTAGTTGCTCTCTTTAAACTCTGTAATTGATTTCTTTAATCTCATTAGAGCACAAAAATGTTGGCTTGTTAACATACAACATGCGATAATCGGTTTCATCGCGGCTCATTGTCTCCAGTAATCACTTTCAACATTACTTTCAGAATGTTCTGGGGCTTAAGAATAGGGTTTGTAACAGTGTCTGGGTGCATATGAATGTGTGAGCACTAGATAGATAGACAGGGGCTGGTGCATCTGTTAGCATCGTTATCTATTTTTATCCGGGGAAAGTAGAGCCTGTCAGTGTGGGGTGCAGGAGGCAGAGAAACAAGCTACCCAGATCCTGCAGGGGACAGCTGGCCAAAGGCTGCATGTCTTCCTTAGGAGAAGCAAACACACAGTGGCAGTGTGGAAAAGATCCACTCTGAACTCAGTGGGAGATGACCCTGAAAATGACCCAAAACAGCTGAGTTGTTGGAAAGGGGTTTTTCCCAATCTAAAGAGAGATACTTTATTAAACTGGTTCACATGTGTTTATCGTTTAGTCAGTTTGGTGCTGTTTTCACATTACCAGAATTTTAGACTTCGATATCATTCTAGTAAAAATCAAACTATGCTGATATCTGTTTTGATACCTCGGCAACATTAATGGATGTCCTAGCCACCAAATATTGAGTAATTCATTATTTTGAATGAATCCTGCACACTGCCCAGATGCAGTGTTGGAAAAGTTTCTTGCAATTTTTGATGGATTTGTTCCTCTCCCACGCGCTTGTCTTATGAAATATAGTTATTTTTTAAACGTCTGTTGTTTTTGATACCATCAATAATTAAAAAAAACAAGAGACTGTGTCGTTTAAAAACACGTGGGTAGAAAATAATCAAAGCATTGAATGTAAAATGAGGAGAAATCCTAACACAAATAATCACTTTGGAGATGATTTGCAAGATTACTGCAATTTCATTTTTTCAAACATATAAAACTTTGAGTGATAATCTGACAGCTTTTTTTTTAATGGCCATTAGCTTTTAATTAATAGAGACAAAATATGATGTTTTTAATGTTTTTAATACAATTTGAGCTTGACATTTTGACATTTTTATTCATGCTCCTGTTTATTGTGTTTTTATCAGATGTTGTTTTATTTGTTGTTTTTACATTGTGTGTTTTTGTACAGCACTTTGGTCAATAAAGGGTTGTTTTAAATGTGCTACAGAAATAAAGATTGATTGATTGATTGATGTTTTCACCACATAATACTGAAAAGCACAATATTAACTAACAGCATATTGAATAGTTGCCTGATTGACATTCAAATATTATTAAACTGGAGAATCAACATAAATAGAACCTCCTGAATCTCCGGACATTTATTTCTCTTAAAGTGGAACTTTAGTTTAACATTCTCTTTTTCTGCAGTGTTTACCGGACTGGTACTTAAATCTAGTCAGCTGTTAAATAATAGAAATAAAAGTACAGACTGTGGCATTCAGTAAGACCGCAAGCAAGATGTATTGATGTGCAGGATTATTGTCAAAGTCTGAGTAAGCTCACAACATCAACAAGACGGCATTACAGAGCAAATCAACTGTTGTTTCTATTACAGAACAATCAACAGGATTTTTTTTTTCTTTCTGTGGTTTTCTCTTCAGAAATTGTAAAATGCACTTAGATAAATTGACTAAACACTTCAGGTGCCTTCAGTGGATTTGTCCTTCAGGCGTCTCACTTAAGATGAAACTATTACACACCAACACTTCAAAAGAAGAAACAATGCAGCTCCATTTGAATTATTAATGTCTTGTTCACATCAATGGATTTAACTCTGACACTAACTCTGTCGGGGTCAGAGGGGCTCAATCCCCACTGGAAATACAAATCTCAAAATGTAAGTGCTTGTAATGCTGTCAGGCTTCTTGAATTTCACCGCATCTTCCAAATGGTCTGTGTTATCAGGCTTTTAATTAAAAGGCCATTGATGGCAGACATTGTATGAGTCAGCTGTTTCTCTTTTCTGGGGTTGTTCCCGGGGTTGTTTTGGAGGTGGGAGGTGTGATGAAAGTGGACTTCTTACCTCACCCCGGACCAGCTGGGGCAGCAGACTGTAGTCACATAATTGCCTGTTTTAATCTTTTTACAGTCGCATAACCTGCCAAGGAGGTTCACAGCCTGTGTGCATGAGCTCTAGTTTCAGATCTCAGGCCTTCAAAAATGTGCTTTCAGAAGTCATGTTATAATCTGACCAGAGTTTGATGAAAGAGAAGTATGTTTTAAGGATTTATCTGACAAGAAAAGACCTTTTAGGACACAATGGTTGGATACGAGAACATGTCTTGCGATGCTAGCTCAGTTGTTGATAATGATATATTTAATTTGGCTCAACTAAATACATGTAAAACACAGAAAAGCTCATTATATCTTTTATTTTATATTATTTCAACTGCAAAATCCTTAGTTTTTCGCTTTGTGAGCGGGATGCTAGGCACATTTTGGATCTTTTTCAAACAAAGCAAACGTAATTTAAAACGTCCTGTCTTTCAGATTTTCTTTTCTACACTGAAATATGACCTTTGCACAACTGTACAAATGTTATCTGCATTAGGTCTGAGCTTACTTTACCATAATAATAATTATTAAAATGGTTATACTGCAGAAGCCTCTCCTTCAATTGATCGGACCTGACTGCAATAATAGGACTACAAACCCTCCAGGATGTTATTTGGGCTGCCTTATACCCTGGCAAAGTAACCGTCTGTGTAGGTGTTCGTACTGCTGTCTATTTGAGGAAGGAGCTAAAAAAACGAGAGCACTGTTATGCTGTGAGTCCCTTTTTATTTTTTTATTCTTTTCTCTGTGATTTTAGTGTTTTTCACTTCTGCTAGGGATCTTCCAAATTAGAAAAAAAGACTTTAGGGGATGACTTCTGAATCAAAGCAATGTAACTTGAGTGCTTACTCCCATATGAGTTTTTTTTTTACAATAAGAAAGAAAAGAAAAACCGATAGGACCTTTAAGTGATGAATCACTCTCAGTGAGATGGATAGGGAATGCAGGCATATCACACATTTCGCTGTTTTCAGCACCTCCCCGGTGATTGTTTTCACATCATAAAAGGCCACACACAGATCACTCAGCAGTGCCGCTCGATCCTATTCTGGGTTTTTATTGTGTATTCCAATATGACCCGGGCCTGTAACTCATTCAACTTGGGGAGCTGTAATAGTACACACTAGATGTTGAGGCTTAGCTTTGCCATCTGCAGTACAGTCGCAGGTCACCTAAATTCTCTCCTCTCAAACAAACCAGTGTGCCCTCTGTTGAGGTATAGAAAAACCCCAACAAGCACTTTCAGCACCCACATGTGCTGTCAAGAGGTTGGCTTAGCTTTCAATAGCCAGCAGTCTTTTGTTTTCTCTTTCGAAAAGGATTCTAAAAGCTGCTCTGTTGACACATGTTGAGTCTACACCAGCTCACCCAGAGGTCATACTTTGGTGCCATTTCTGAGCCGGTAACGACAAAGAGCTGTGTCACCGTTTGGATGCCATATTGTGGTGTGAATCACCGAGGCTAGTGAGTTTGAAGGATTATTCAAGCTACAGTCTATAAAAGCACTTTCTTTTTATAGTGTGCCACTATAAGTGCCCACACTCAGGAGGGAGAAACCAGAGGAGGCGGTGTCCTACTTGCCAGCATCCTTCGGGAGATTTGGTGTGCAGATGTGGGAGTGTGTGTGTGTGTGTGTGTGTGTGTGTGTGTGTGTGTGTGTGTGTCGAGTGAACAGGGATCCTTTTCATTGTTGTGACAGTCAATCCTGGCTTTTCTGACAAATGCACGACTGCAGACGCTAAAGGGACATTAACAGAAATAATAGTACGGGCAGTCGTGTTGGCAGGAGGCACTGATTGTTTGATTTGGATTTGAATAATGACATCTTTGAACTCAATTTAACAAAGTTTAAAAAAGCCTTCTAAATGTCTTTCAACCCTGAATTGAACAATGAATCGCTCATTTGGTGGTTATTGGGTCGTATGTGCTGAAAATGAAGATTTGTGAGGCTTTATATTGTCCTGATTCTACCGGTTCGTACACATACAGGGAGTTAGGGTAAACAACACAATAAAGGTAGCTATCTGTGTTGAGGCTGTTGTGGTTATATGGCGTGCATCTCATAAACTCCACCATTTGATTTTCCACTGATGGCATTTTAGTTGGAGTCGGTTTTGGTTAGCCACTTCAGTTTTGTATTCATTTCTAAGCTGGGTCAATTCTCTCTGCACTTTATCTTGTCTCACTTTTTTATTTAAACAAAGAGGGAAATACAAAACCATTTGGTGTGGATTTTAACAAGCAGATGTTTAATCTGATCTAAACCTGAGCGTATAACCTATCTATCAGTTTCTGTCTTTAGAAGTTGTTAAAGTAAAACCTTAATTGGTCAATTAATTGGTCAGTAAAGCAATATATGCAATATATATAATATGTAAAACAGTAGTTTTAAAGGTAGATCTAATAGCATAATAACATTCAACAGGGAGAATGTCGTCTCTCCCATGCCTCAGCCTGCCGCTCTTCACAGTATGTAACTTTGCCAGTGGGACGAATTACTTAACATGTGTGTTTATTTACACAAGTAA